GTGTTAACCCTTGTGTACAGACCATCACACAAGAGAGGTCCACGATTCTCTCTTGGAGTGATGCTATACATATATTAAGGTGTTTAACCCAGTGTCCATCCCTCACATCAAGAGGGACCCACTTCGAATAAAATATAATGTATCTGAAGTGGTTTTCCCTTTCTGTGAGGAGGTCCGAATTATGTACAAATAGCATATTCCCCCTCTTGTTGGAGGGGGGAGGGTTCTATACACCATAGCAAAGCCCATGTGGAAAACTAATTTCCGCTATGTCTTGTCATAAAAGTGTTATAATGAAAATATATAAGCAAATTCTAGGTGGAAAATCGATTTCCACCATGTCTTGTCATAGAAGTGTTATAATGAAAATATATGTGTGTGCGCACACGCACACACATGTCTTGTATCGTTAAATATAAAGATGGTGAAATTAACAAATACACCGTGTACATAAAGTGCAATTACACTTTACATACCGTATTTTAAAATTACATTTTTCATATGATATTTTTCCTAATGGTAACCAAAAAAACTGTTTGCTAAAAAAATTATATATATGTAATTTGCTAAACAGAAAAAAATACCATTAACAGGAAAACCAAATCATAACCTATACATAGGGATGTCAACGAGTCGAGTCGAGCTCAACTTGAGTAAAATTGGTTCGAGCTTTTTTTTCCCGAGCCAAAAAAATTAGACTTGACTTGAGCTTTATCTAGCTGGCTCATGATTTTATTTTATTTTTAAATAGGCAGCCACACGCTACATGCTAACATAGGCAGTAGGTAGTAGTACAACTATTATTGCTTGCACGTAGCTTTTAATTTTTTTCCTAAGGCTAAACTCGTCATGGGCTAGCTCGGGCTCGGGTCGACGCCGTAAAATGGGGCTCAGCTTGAGCCTCTACTCGGTTCTATCGGGTTACTAGCCAGGCTATCTCGACCTTTTCTTAGGCCAAGCCATGGGCTGTCTGAGACGATGAGTGAAATTGACACCCCTACCTATACATTATAGTATGTTCCTGTTTGATTTAGTTAAAATTAAATTTTTATTAAATTTTGATAAAAGTTGATGAAATATGTGGTTAAAAAGTCGATCAAAATTATATATCCCATAAAATTCGTGGTTGAAAATAAATTTTAAAAAAATGAATTTTAAAACAATTTTGCACATGAATCTATAGTTTTTTCCTACTTTTTAACCAACATTCTCAAAAATCATCTTTTCACAAAATTTAGTTTAAAAGAATTTTTTTCAAACGGAGGCTTAATAAGTCAATAAAATATTTTTTAAAAATTTTTAAAAAAATCTCCATTCAACATTATTTGTAACTAGAAATTGATATCTTATTCTTTTTAATTTGGAGTAATTTTTCAACTTAAAAATTTGTTAAAAATGAATGCATAATTCTATTTGTATTTATTGTAGATGAAATATTCTTTTTCTACGAGAAAAATCCACAAAAGAGAAGAATATATAAATATAACTAGGGATGACAACAGGGCGAATTCGAAATTTTTTCGGCCCATATCTTCCTCGTTACCTGTTTAAGGTAGGGCCGGGCGTTTGCTCCATTTGTGTGCTCGTTTAATTTATTTTTTTTAAGTTTTTGATAATTCATTTTATTGCTCTCATTCACTAAAGTGAGACAATACGGTAGTTATTAAATTTTTTATTAATTTTTTTATTTTTAAAAGTTAAATTATTTGAATATATTTGGTAAACTAAAGTCTTTATTGTTTATCATATTCCTTAAATAATCTTCTTCGTCATATTCTATTAGAATTAATGAAATTTAATGAAGTTTACCATTTAAAGAGATGAATTCTTTAAAAATAATTATAATACATAAACTTCGTGGGGCAAGTCAAAATCCCTGTTACTCGTACTCGCCCAGGGGAGGAATCCCCCGCCTCGTCTCCGACCTGATTACGGGTATGGCGGATTTTTTTGCCATCTCTAAATATAACTACTAAAAATATATAATTTAGATTAAAAGAAAATAGAAAGAAATTATGTATCATGTTACAATAAGAGAGCTCCACTAAATATTAATTTACGGAGTGATGGCTGAATGAAAAGGAAAACAATTATATTTTTAGATGAAAATAAAATAATAATGGATGTTTTGGAGAATAAGAAAATAGTTTTTATAAAAAAAAAAATGGTATGTGAATGTGTGGGTTATGTTTATTATTGCTAAAAAATTTAATTAAAATCTAAATCAACGTCAAGAATTAATTTTAGCTATATATTTCATAAGACTCACAATTTTTCAACTATATATTTCATCATCTTTTATCAAAATTTACAAAAAATCTAATTTTAATCTCTACAAAACAAACTTTAATACAATTCGAATGGTATGGTTTGTTATTTGTAATTGTGAATATTTATTTAACTACATGTTAAATTTTGTTTAAAGTTCAATGATTGCAATGAAATTTAAGCTTTGATGATGTCATAAAAGTTCCTTCACAAAATAACCTCTCTTTATAAAAGTGATCAAAACATGTTTTTAATTAAAAGTGAGCATGTTTGAACTCTGGTTTTCTTTAAAAAGACGATAACTTTCAAAGAACAACCTAAAATGAGTGGAGGAAAAAATCACTTAAAAGTAAACTATAAAATGTTCAAATTACTTAAAATTTTATTTTACTTAAACTAGTCAACATGCTCGCTTAAATGCCCTATGCTAGAGGCACCAAACTTGTGGAAAATCTCTGGTCAGAGATTACAAATTAGTGGTAGATTTCATGTTCACAGGAATATGTCACGGTGCTAAGAGTTTATAATATACATTTTTGAAAGTTTTGAAATCCCCAATGCAAATTTTTCATATTTCTTTTACATCTGATTTACCAACTTAAATTAATAATAAAGGATATATATGTACAGTTGCTTATTACATGACAAAAATTGGATCCTGAATTGTTGTTTTCCATTTGCTTGAATATTCACACATTGTAGTTCAAGTTTCTCAAAATTTATTCCGACTTTATCTCACATTAATAGAGAGGGCACCACCTGCATTATTTAAATGACTCCAAATTCAGAAGTCAAAACTTCCTTTTAAAGTCAAACATTTTGAATTTATCAAATCTTTTCATTTTCACCCATTGAAAGGAGGAAAGCTACAACGAAATAGTCGTATATGTATGTGTGGTAGGATTTTTTTATATTACAACAACTCAAATTTTGAGCCATTCAAATTTTGATACGTCAACTTTCGAGGTGTTAAGAGAAAGAAACAAAATATATGTACAGCATCGAGGTCCAATTATTGATATCGACATCGTTGGTGATTACAGTTTTATGTCCAAAAGTCCGTTAAAATGAAGCAAAATAACTTATTTTCCATTAAAAAAAAAAAATAAATGAAAAGTGCAAAAAAACAAAAATTTCCATTATTTCAATGCATGAAAATAAAATATTTTGATATAAATCGTCGTCAACAACGAGATATATTAATTAATGAAATGTTGAAGATAAGAATTCATCGAAAAAAGTTAAGGAAATAATTGCCGCAATCACGATTGGTTATTTTGATGAAATCAATATCATTAATGATTCAAACAAATTATCAATATCGACATCAACATCGTTGGTGATTACCAATACACATTCATCGGTGGAAACTAAGGATGTTGTCATCGTAAAGTTATCGTTAATCGTCGATTATGCTTCAGTCACCACCAAGAGGCTGTTGTGATCAACGACGATATGGCTATTAAAGCTTCATATTGAAATCAATATTTGCTAGTAATTCAAATGAAAATATGGCGAGCGATACTTTTGGTTAGTGTCGACACACATTGTAACAACCCGAAAATTTTAGAATACAAACTTATGTGTTCTATATATTATATTTTATTATTTTGAAAGTCGAGCGACTAAAGTAAAATACATTTTAAATTCTTATGTTTTTGGGTTGAATTTTTAGATTTGGACAAAGTGATGATAAGTGTATTAATATTGGACTCTTTTTGTAAATAGTAATTTATTAAAAGTCTTCGACTCGAGAAAATGTTATTTTGGATAAAAACACATTAAATTAGACTCAATTGAAATAAAATAGGAAAAATAGAATTTTATATAAGTTATAATCCAATTCATTTTCTCTTTCTGAAAACGTGTAAGATGGATACTAAATTATTAAATTTTTTTGGTTTGGTTTAATATTCATCCTTGATTATGATTAGGCTAAACTTTGGTGATTCAATCCTAATCGAAATATAAAAACGGTTTAAACTTATCATTAATAACCCAATACCCTTTTCCCAGTAGTGAACGTACATGTGTTTAACTAGAAAATCATCATTTTGACAAAATCCTAATTCTACTAATTAAACTCAACCTTATTCAAAACGACTCATGGTACACGGCTCCTCCATTCCAATTAAACCAAAATTTAATTGTGTTTGTTGATTTCAACTATAAATATTACACGTAGTCCCATTATTTCACCATAAAAATCTATGTACATATATGGCAGAAAGGAGTTTTTAAAATCAGCAGCCAAGTTAGAAAAAAAGAAAGATATGGACATGCTACCATGTTATTTATTTCAAGTAATTTTATCTTATCTAACGAGGTAAGATACTTTATGTGTAAGTGATTTTGTTTCGTTATACTTTTATATTCAATTAAATATGTATGGATTGCCAATAGACTTTTTTTTTAAGAGATATGAAATTCTACTGGATTATAAGAGGACATAAGATGAGTGTGACGCTTGATCACCGATATATACTCCATAAGATCAGAGTGGTATGAAATGTATAATTTTTATTGTTATATATTTTGTATATGGAAACTGCATGTATCTTATTGAGGATTTTCGAATACTCACTCTTACAAATTTTTACAAGTTAGTTCGGGGTCGATTGGAATTGTGGAGAATTGATGATGTAGACGGCCAAGGAAATCCAAGGAAAAAGGAAAATAAAAGAGATTAGTTTGCTATTGTGTCTCTAATTTTTTTTGTTAGCTCTAATTGTTCAAAAGACTTGCTTGTTTAATTAGTAATTTGATTATGTTTAGATTTTTAGAAACTCAGATCTTGTGTTTTAAATTGATAATTTGGTTGGAAATAAATATTTTCTTTTATTTGTGTCGCTTCGTATTTATTAAAAGGAAAGCTTGAATTTTTCGTAACACTTCAGTGTTTATGAAAAATTGGGGGCATTGCACACATTCTCATTAGAGATTGACGACGACAATGTCAGTAATGCTGTTGAAAATCAACGGTGATACTTCAGTCATCTACAAGAAGACATAGGTGTCACGAATTTTTGTTTTATTTTTTGTTTTTATAATATATATGATGACATATAAGTTAAAATGTCTATTTATTTTTTCCTTATAATATTATGAATATAAAAATCATTTTTTAAATTCCATTTTGTTTAGGATGGATTTTTCGATTAATATCTTTTTTATATTTTATTAATTTATTTATTGACGAATGCTTTTTTTGAAAAATTAAATTTCTAAAATTGTTTATGTTTTTGAGATTACTCGCTAAAATTTACTCGCAATATGATTTTTTTTTTTTTAAAAAGGCAAAAACATGTAAATTTTAAAAATTACTCTAGGCGACTATGTTACTTGCCTAATGCTTGAGACGACTTTGTTAAAGACACATAGTTAGTAAGAGAAAATTTAATATTGGTCAAGGATTTGTAGTCATTTTATCAATCATATGCTAACCACAAATATGGTAAATTTGGAACATATTTAACTCATAGTAAATAATACTTCATCATGAGAAGAGACTTTTAATATCGAAAAATATATAGTTAATAAAACAAAGCTTTTCTTATAACTAAACAGGATATTACTACATGCTGAACTACTGAAAATTGTTGTAATATACGTCAATGTCCGTCCAAGATGGCAGACCTTTTCCACTAACCAGTGGAGTTTGCATTTCTGCTTATTTATAAAAAAAGCAGCTTATCAGCTCCTTTTAAACTTAGCCAAACATGCTCTAATTAGACTTCTGCATCCAACTGTAGCACAAAATCATGTGGTCCAAAAACTGAGGCCAAAATAACACCTTTACGTTGTGGCATTTTGCTGATTTTATCCAACTCTTCCTCGCTTAGAGACCAATCAAATATTTGTAAATTATCTTTCATTCTCTCCTTGTTGAAGCTCTTTGCCACCAAACTCACTCCTTGCTCATAAACCCATCTCAGTGCTACCTGCACCAATAACACAAATATTTTCTCGAGTTATCGAGGCAACAATCTTTACAGTTTCCAATTTTCCGAAACTTAAACATTACCTGAGCGGTCGTCTTTCCTCGAGCCTTGGCGATATCTGCTAACACGTCGCTTTCGATAATTCTATTGTCTCCCCAATTAGTATTGTTTGCACCAAGTGGCGAGTATGCAGTTATATGAATACCCTTCGCCTTACAGAATTCTCTTAGTTGTTTTTGCTGCCACGCGGGATTGATCTCAACCTTATTTCAGTTAGGCAAAACACAGGTTTAGCATCGCCCCTACCTCAAATAGAATAATCAGTAGTTATCTTATGTGACAACTTTTTATTCGAGACATTAGTTTCTTGTAATTCTGTTACCTCAAATAAGAAGCTGTCATGTAAAACGACTAATGTAGTCACTAATTATGAATAGCATTACTCCTAAAAATAGGTATTCGGAGAGGGAAGTAAAACTCACTTGATTGACTGCTGGAGGAATTTTGGCAATGGAAAGGACTTCCTCTAGCTTCTTACAAGAGAAATTACTGACACCAATGGCCTTTGTGAGACCCAATTTTTGACACTCTTCCATGCCTTCCCAAACTCCCTTCATATCCAAAGGATGTATGATTTCTTTATCAACTGGTGTCTTCTGTATCATTTGACTCAACCTCAGTGGCATGTGTATTAAGTACAAGTCAACGTAGTCCAACTTAAGGTTCCTACATAGAAATTTATAACTTATTGGTACCAATAATTATATAATTAATGGACGTACTAAGAATTTCAGTTCATAAATGTGCTTACTGGAGGCTCATTTTACAGGTAGGAACAATTTGATCTCGTTGAGCGAAGCTACACCATAATTTTGTTGTGATAAAGAGGTCGTCGCGTGATTTAATGAGACCGAGACTTAGAGCTTCGGCGATGGCTTCACCGAGGGGCTTCTCCGATCCGTAAGCAAAAGCCGTGTCGAAGTGGCGATATCCGGCTTTTATGGCTTCTAATATAGCAGTTTTGGCAGTCTCTAAATCGGCCGGAGGATACGAAGAAGTACCCATACCGATCACCGGCATCGACTTTTCACAACCGATCAAACTCACTTGTGGAATTGCTGCCATTTTTCGACTTTCTAATTGATCCTTCAAATAATGTCAAACTTATTTATTGATTAGTTAGTACTCACCCAACATATAAATAGACGTTGAATATGAATATTGGAATAGTGTCATTTTGCTAGACGAGATATTGACTCCGTGGATAAATCAAACTTCAATATTTCCACTTATAATATTAGCCGTCGATTTTGAACTTCTAGATGACTCTGAAAGTGAGACTTATCTACTTTATATACCTAATAAAAGTATCGATGTGGAAAGTATGTTAGAGATATAATTAAAAAAAGGTTGAACTCCAACTTTGAGATCTCTCACCGTCCCGTCCCTAGAATTTTGTGAGGAAGATAAATCGCGGGATGTGTCCCTACAGATCAGGGAACAAGAGCTGTCTGTACATTGCGCCTACAAGAAGATGTTAGAGATATAGTTCTAACGATGGAGAATTGGAGACTTTTCCCATACTAATTTCATAATTTTTTTTTAAAAAAAATTAGTTTCAACCACATATCTTATGGGATCCACAATTTTTATTAATTTTTTAATCATATATTTCAACAACTTTTATCAAAAAATACTAAAAATATAATGTTTGTCAAAACCGAGCAGGGCTTTAATTCTATTGTACTAAGGCCATCTCCAACCACAACACCATTGCACCATTTTGCACCATTTTTTGGTGCAAAATTGCTCCAACCCAACACCAAACTTTGCACCATTTTGGTGCAAAATGGTGCAAGTGTAAAATGCCAATTTTGCCCTTATTTTACATTTCCTAAATAAATTTGTTGAGGGTATTTATGTAATTTGTGCTATATATTTTTTAATACAATAAATTATTATTATTTTTATTAATATTAATAATTATTTGTGTTTAAAATAAATTTTAAATGTAAGACATAATAATTAATTAATTAATTAAAAGACGAAAATAATTTAAAATACATCAAACACGATTAATTATTTATTTATTTAGTAATTTATGTATTTCTGAAATAATTAAATAAATAATATTTCAAATAAGTAGATTATAAAGAATAAAAAAAGGGAAGAAAATGGTTAAATACTGTTCATTTGGTGTAATTTTTGGTGTAATGGTTGGAGATGAATTTTAGTTTGGTGTAAGATTTGGTGCAAAATTTGGTGCAAAATGGTGCAAAATTTGGTGCTGGGTTGGAGATGGCCTAAGAACAGTAAAGTTATAGTAAAGAAATAAAGACATTAAAGAATACGCAAAATTTATAGATATTTTTTTTAATGTGAGAGTACATTCTCGTTCACCGCTGCAATAATTTATCACGATGAAGAAACATTTAGAAAAAATTGAACACCCTATTTTTTTATAACCCCTCTCTCTTTTTTATGATAATACAAAATTCTAATGCAAATTTCCTATTAATTAAATTCCAAATTTTGAGAAAGAATTCCAAATTTCTAGTAGTCGGTTGAGAGTCCTTTTTATTGTAATTTGTAATAAATGCATATATACACCAAAAGTCAGATTGCCATTTATGAGTATTTAATTTTCAGTACTAGACTCTTTAGGTTATTTTTCCTGATGTATGGACGTTCCTGTTTGGTTTAGTTGAGGTTGAAATCAACCATTAAATTTAACCACACACTTAATGATATTCACAATTTTTTAATTAAATTTTAGTCAACTTCTATAAAAATTTACTGAAAATCTAATTTTATTTAAACCAAATAGGGACATTATGATCTTTTTATCGACCACTTTACACAATGAAAATTTCTTTACTACCTCCATTAAGACCATTCGCAAATTGCAATGATAATGGGATGAAATATATCGCTGTGTCCCTATATGTCCAGTGACATCTAACGATGTTACCATTATATCATACTCCATTAAGACCATTTGCAAGTTGCAATGATAATGGGATGAAATATATCTCTGTGTCCCTATATGTGCAGTGATATCTAACCATGTTACCATATATCATAAAAATTGGTCCGACTTTGCTACATCGTGCCTCAAATTCAAAAAAATTCTAGACATGTACGTTTTCTACAGTTGTCTATCTCATCAACCGTATGCAAGGACGGATTTTTTTTGGGGGGGAGGGGTCCCCCACTCAAGCCCAAGAAGTCTTTTCAAGGTTTTTTTTTTTTTTTTTTTAATAAAAACCCATTTTTTATGTGTAATTTTTTTCCGCGTATTAGCCTGATTTGAAATTTTTTAGCCCGATTTTGGATCCAATCTTGTATCCGCCCTTGACCGCATGTTTACCCAACATTAATGTCTTTACAATCTCTATTTGAAAAGCTCATTGACAAACAATCAAACTATTCGAAAATCTGAATATTTAATTATTTCCAATATCCTTGGCTTTGCTCTTATACTGACAATTAAATTGAAAACATGTATCGCGTATGTACCTTCGTTGGTTACTCTCTCACTCGTAGTGTTTATCCGAGCTATGACACTGTCCAAATATATCTTCCCGTCTTGTCATATTGAATTTGTTGAGTTCATTATTATTATTATTATTATTTCATTTTCTCTAAGTAGAATAAACTCTAATAAGTCCGACGACCCTTCAAGTGAATCTTGGATTCGACCAATTACAATAATTTCAATCAATTAATCAACATCTTGGGAGTCTTCTACATCAGGCATGGTCCTTATGACACCCCCTTCATCTCGAACTCTTGTCCTAAGTGAAATTTCTCGTTCCTAACTTTGATCGGTGGCATGCTTATTTCACAAACTGTAGAACCTAAAGTATCAGTGTGCGTGCATTAGTCACTGAGATTGCACCAGTGTTCCTTTCTTCAATCAATCCAGAATCACTTTTGGTCCTCGGCCAGTAACAACCTGATTTTAATTATATTTTCATATGAACTAAATTTAATGTTAGTCATTTAGCAGATGAAACGGTCTATGCTAACTTTGTCATCACACTAAGGTCCCAAAAGTTGAAGCGATATATGTAACTCACTTATTTGCATAAATTATTTATTTTGTTTACTTGTAAAATTTATTATGAGTTATTTGGGTCAAATATTTAAGTATTTCAAAATTTGATAAAAGATATATCGATATTATACTCATTTTGTAGCTCGTGCTAAATAACATAAATTGGCCCAAGAAGAAATAATTTTGAATTGATAATATTCGAGTTATTTTAATAGAAAGAAAAGTATTACAAATTCTATATTTTTTTATTAATATAAAAATAATAATTATATAATATACAATAATCAATTTAAAGGTTTACGTGGGTTCTGGGAATTTGAAAAGCCACAAGCCACTCCTTTAATTAATATTTATAATCTCTCACTCAATCGTACTGTCCCATCATTGAAATAGCCACCGTGATTGATTTAAAAATTAATCAATCCATTGAATTTATTTGGTATGCTTTGAATTTGATTTCAAATCACACAATTGATGCAAGTGTGTGTGTGTGTATGTGTGTGAGAGAGAGATAAACTTTCTTTTACCCACATTCATTTCACTCGTCTACACACACTTTCGAAAATGAATAGCATTTTATTTCACAAGTCATTTTTAAAATTTTTGTGGTGTCATTTGAGGTAAGAATTGTACAAATAATAAATTCTTATTTTACTTGGTATTTTTATGGACTTGGCATGAAATATTTTAAGGCCTTATAGTCGATTTCAATTTTCAATGTTAAATCTTTTGGGATGAGCTTTTGTATCAAATATGTTAAATTCTTCGGGATGGACCGACAAGTCGACTATGTTAAATCCTACAGGATACGGGAATTCTTAAGAAATTTCTTGAGCTATTAGAATTGCGACCAGTTTACTCTAAATCTAAGAAAAGTCCATGTTTTATGCCATTTTATGGTTATGTCATGTTGATAAGAATATGCATATATTTCTTAATGAGTGACTTTTTAAAATACTCACTCTTATAATAATTTTTTCATATTAGAATGAGTTGTGTGGACATGTGGCAGATTGGTCGAATAATGCTTATGGGGTCGCCAAGTAAAAAGTCTTAGAAATAATTATTACCAATTTCTCTTTTAAGAATAATTTTATGGATAATTTTATATTTAATTACGTGTATGTTATTTTAGTAATTTTGACATTTAAGTTATTTAAAATGTTAAATTGGCAATTAATTTGTAATATTTTAAACTAGATAAAATTCAAATTTTTATTTTGAATTGTTGAATTCACATTATTGATTTATCGATCAAATACCAAAATTTATACATTAGTGTTAAATTTTGCTTAAACTATAAAAGAAAAATTTTGGTAACACTTCAAATCTTTTTTTTAGAAAAAAAAAAAAAAGAAAAAGAAAAAAGGTAGTGGATTTGGGGTGTTACAGCTTGGTATCGAAGCACGAGTTAGTCGATTCTGTAGACTCGTCTTTATATATATATATATATATATATATATATATATATATATATATAATTAATTTCTAAAGTAAATGAAATGATTTTACTCTATTGGTTCGATGTAACTTGTCAACTTGTTAAGTAAATGATTTCTATTTATAACGTGTACATGTTTACTTGCTTATATTTTTGTTGTACGAAATTTTCATTAAACAAGTATTTAAAATAAGACACATGGCATCTAGCACTCATCAATCTACTACCGTCTGATAAACCCAAGGTATGAATGAAATATTATGTTTAAGCTTACTTTCACGCATAATTTCATTAAATGCTTATGATATTTAGAATGAAAAATGTTATGCAAATTATTATATTGTTTAATATACATGAAGATATAAAGACTAGTCATTTTACAAGAGCATAATGTATAAGTTGACTCATAAAAATAAATTATAATTGAACATTTATGTGATAGACATGTTTAGAACTTACTAGACCGTCGCTCGTAGAGCAGCTTTGAATTGTAGATCCATCATTCAATCATATAAGAATTACGTGACTGACTCGACTCATTTACTTGTCCAATATTGCAAGACATCTATGAAAGATGTATGGCAGTTGTGGATGTAGGACTGGAGATCACGCACATCGAGGTTGTTAATAACCTCATACAGCTGCTTTCACCTCAATGGGGAGACATAGAAGTTATGATTAGGGATGAGATGTTAGAAGATAGCCCTC